CGTATACGGTACTCCTGAGAAACCTGTCACCACAAGAGCAGCAGAGCATCAGAACGTATCGAAGTTATGGAAACTCCGCGGAACTCGCATGGCATCATCTCAAGTGCCTCTATCAAGCAAACGACAGCGTGACACAAAGCAGACTCATGCAACAACTGACAACAATACAGATGAAGACCGGGGAAAAAGCGATGCAGTATATGAGTCGCTGCCAGACCCTCCGCGACCGCCTGCTTCGGTGCGGAGGAACGATCACTGAAGAAAGCTTCGTGACACTTGTCCTCGCCGGCTCGGGCCAGAATGGAGAACCACACGATCACTTCTTCGAGCCCACGGAAGAATTTCGGAGATGCACCTCTGCGCCGAGCTTCACGCTGAACAACAGGAGATGGATCTGTTCGAGGAAAGACAACCAAGGAAGCAACAGCAGTTAGTCTTCTACACTCAAAGAAGAAATGACAACAACTACAACCGACGCAGCAAGCAAGATCAACGCGACAACCGAGGACTCACCATCGTACCGCCGTTCTGCCACAACTGCCAGACTTCCGGGCACTCCAAAGTCAACTGCAACCGCCCTCGCGTTTACCGTGCAGCAGACCCACAAGTCACTTCCACTCAAGCAAGTCCTCCAAGGCGCTCTTCAACATCTGCACAACAAACACCCAACATCATCAACTGCATGGTACACATCGACAACTGCGCACCCGGTTCACCACCCACTTACGCACCAGACGAAGAGGAATTCCCGCCGCCGCGCTCGCAAGGACTTCAGGTCAACCCGACATACGCTGCAGTCGCCAACGCCGAACCCACCGGGCGAAACACCTGGTTCTTGGACAGCTGCTGCGGTCAACACATGTGCTCCTCGGACGCTTCGTGCAACAGGAGAAACGACTCAACCGCGACGTCGTCATCACAGTCGCCAACAACGAAAACCTGAAGACAAACAGACAAGGCGTGGTTCAGTTACAATCCATGGAAACAAACGTAATACTCAGCTCAACAAAGTGCTCATTGTCGACAATCTGGGATACAATCTACTAAGCGTAAGCCAACTAATGGCCAAAGGGATTCACCTGGAGTGCGACTCTTACTCCAACGAGTTCCGGCTTTACCACGGGAAGGGCGGCCTCTTCATCGGTCGTGCCCTCCTGAAGTCCGGTGTCTTCGTGTTGGACTTCGTCCCCGACCGCGGAACTGCCGACAGCGATGGCATCGTATCGTTCGCCGCCTGGACTCACCCGCCGGATCTTGATCCCGACTTCGACAGTGACGGCTTCTGGCACTCCAACACCATACCTGCAGCAGAGAGAACACGAGCATTAGCAGTTATCAGACAAGAAAGACAAGTACCCGCAAGTGTCCCAACAAAACCATCACCTGCAGTATCGGCAGCAGGACCCAGCCGAGTACCACCACCATCAACACGAGGACCGCCAACGGAAGCAGACCAACTTATGCCCGCCACACGAGAAGCTTGTCGAAGTCCCGCCTCAGTCGTCGCGTTCTTCTCCAACGCCGACATCTACCACCGCTCGCCCGGTCACCGTGCTCCCGACGACATCTGGCACCAACGCCTCGGACACCCTGCAAACAGCACAATACTTCAAACAATCCAAGCAGAGGTGTTAGAACGCAACGCCCTTCTGACGACGAGCGGCCAAGAACTTCGACGACCACGCGCACGTGCTTCACATGCCCCGAAGCAGATCTTCCTCATCAACCTTTTCCATCCCATCACAACCCAAGCGCACCTACTTACGCTCCGATGGAAAAAGTCTACAGCGATATTTTAAACATGCCTCGAGACGACGCCGAAGCCGACTTCAACTACGTCATCACGTTCATCGACGCCGCAACCAGATATGTCTGGCACTTCAATCTCAAAACGCGCGATCAAGCCTTCGAAGCCTTCACAACATGGCTCCCATCGCCGAACGAGAATCAGGACTCAAACTCAAGAGCTTCCAGTCAGACGGTGCACTGGAATACCAGTCACAACGCTTCAGGACCTATCTGGCGGAAAGGGGAATCAGACGCCTGGTGTCCCTGCCCTATGCTCACCAACAGCAGGGGGTAGCAGAACGCATGAACCGGACCTTGCAGACGACGATGCGAAAACTGCTTCAGGGGATGCGACTGCCAACCACACTGTGGCCAGACGCGATGACACATGCTGTTCACCTGCACAACCTGCTGTCCTCGTCATCACTTCCCAACAACGCATCACCGCACCTCTGTGGACAAGAAAAAGGGGCAGCACAAAATTACTCGAGTTTTCGGCTGCATGGTACAGTACAGACCCCACACAGCCCGAGCAGGACGCTTCACACAACGAGCTCGGTGGGGACTACACCTCGGCATCGCAAACATTTTCACGCGTGGAAAATTCTCGACATACAAGACAAAAACACGGTGGCATCACGAGATGTTATCTTCTACGAACGACTGACTCTGCAGCATTACCTGGACAACTTGCCAACACACAAGACCCCACCGACGGCTCTCGGGACTTCGTTCCTTCGCCGACCGTGCTGCCGAAGCTGACGCAGCAGAAGAAGACGTACCTGGAGCCTCGGAAGCTGCCGGCCACTCCCATTCTGTTCCGTACCTGTTCCACTCGATGAAGATAATCCCCTCGATAGCAACAACCTCGACACCTTTTACCACTTCGCCGACCAAGGTTACGCTACACCTCACCCCGTCGACACGAATATTTCGGAACGCATCGGCCCCAATTTCTTACCTGACCCGAAGACGGTGACGAAGCAGCTTATTCCGGGAATGAAATTCCCCTCGACACACACCCACGGGACTCCAGATTCTAGGCCTCTGGGTCTCCGTCCAGCATCCGCCGCCGCCTTCTACGCGTGAGCCTTCAACCTTGTCGCAGGCTCTGGGGGGGAACATAAGGCAAAATGGAAGAAGCGATGGAAAAGGAGTTAAAAGCTCTGCAAGACCGAGAAACATGGAAACTGGTACCTGCAACGAGCATCAACGGGAAGAACGTTCTCTCGGGGAAATGGGTGTACCGCATCAAGACCAACTCAGACGGCTCCATCGAACGATTCAAAGCTCGATGGGTCGTACGAGGCTTCGATCAACGATACGGAACCGACTACACAGAAACCTTCGCTCCAGTCTCCCGTCACACCTCATTACGCATCCTACTCGCCGTCGCGGCCACAAAAACACTACCACTACGCCAAATCGATGTCGCGAATGCGTTCCTATACGCACCTGTGGACGCTGAGATCTTCGTCGAACAACCCCACGGATTCATCGACGACCCCACGAAAATATGCCGACTGACAAAATCCCTATACGGGATCAAGCAAGCCCCGCGGCTCTGGCAGCAGCATCTTCACAGCCGTCTCGTAAAAATCGGCTTCCTACAGCTGCCGCATGACCAAGGATGTACCGACTGCAGAAGGGAAGAGAGTATGTTCTGCTCATCGTCTACGTCGACGACCTGCTCTACATCGGCTCCACTACCGACATCGCCACCTGGTTCGAAGGGGAGCTGAAAGAAGATTTAACTCTCACGGTGTCCGACGAAGTTACGCAGTACCTAGGACTGAACGTCGTCGAAGACGACACGGCGTTCTACCTACACGCTGGAAAGTACTCAAGCACCGTCGCGAAGAAATTCGGTCTAACACCGACTGCGGTCCCAACTCCCTACCGCTACGGGAACAACAGCAGCGCCTCTACAAAACTCCCCGCGAAACAAATCCAGGAGTATCAACAGAAGCTCGGCTGCCTACTATTCGCAGCAGTAACCTGCCGACCCGACCTGTCCTATAGTGCGAGTCAGCTGGCGACACATCTGAAGCAGCCGAACAGGAAGATCTCGAGGAACTCAATCGAGCGCTACTCTACTTCGTCTCCACGCCGACGATCGGGCTCACCTACAGCAAGGCAACAACACCGTCCGTACGACTACTCGGATACGTCGACGCCGACCACGCGGGAGACAGCGAAAATCGACGGTCTAGGACGGGCTACATCTACCGACTAGAACCTATCGGAACTATCTCCTGGCAGTCGAGCAAGCAGGAGTTAATCGCACTATCCTCGGCTGAAGCAGAGTATATCGCCCTTTGTACTGCGACCAAGGAAGGACTCTACCTACGAGAGTTACTCGAGAAGCGAAGATGCGACCCTGCCCGCCTTCTCACTCCTCTGCGACAACCAATCTGCGATCAAAATCGCAAACAAGGACGGCTTCGCCAACCGAACCAAGCACATCGCCCTGCGGTACTTCTTCGTCAAGGATGAAATCGCGAAGGGGAGACTTCAACTCAGTTACTGCCCGACGACAGAAATGGCCGCAGATTATCTGACGAAGAAATTGGCGAAAGCAAAATTCGACTACTGCATGCTCCTGACCGGGCAAACAAACGTCACCGGATCTGAACATGACAGCACTCCAGAAACGAAGGGGAGTGTTGGAAATATCTCAAAGACTTAAGCGTTTCTGAAGTGTAACACTACACTCGAGGAAGACTACAGGGGAGCACGCGAGTCAACGGAGGTTACACGAGGGGGCGGACAAAGAATGCGAAAAGACCGAAAGGTCGCAACTGGAGGTTGCGACTGACCGTTACAGCATCACGGATGGTAACCGAAGCGGCAATCGAGTCGCTATGCGACTCGATAAACCGTTCCTGTAACTGTACTCTACAACTGCTTTCTTATCTTCTATATATTGCTGTATGCTTGTTTCTTTAATCAATCACTTGTTCTCACATACTAGTACAAGGGTTCAACTGCCTCAACTTCCGCTGCACTACTCCAAGTCTCAAGTCTCTACAAGCTGGGACTTAGTCTCTGCAAAAGATCCTAAGGCCTTTTTCAGCCCAACAAAAACCACGTGACAGGAGGTGTAGATATACAACCATATCTCAATCCACTTCATGATGTTGGAACGGTCCAGCATCCAGCAATTAGCACGCTGTACACTGTCCAAGCAAGTCCACCAGCTCATGCAACATTCCATAAGATTGATGATATACATTTCGAGGTGAAGAAAATTATGCACGAGTAAAATTACAAGACTTTCTTCAAACTAGCCTTCCATCCTGCAGCCAACCTATTGCTATCCAGCTAGCACTGCCATCAACATCACACTATGTCATAGCAGGTCACTAGCACCCCTCACCACCAGCACAACTTCCCACCACCACCACTCCCCCTTTGCACATCCAACACTACCATCACTTTCCACCACCATCAGTTTGGCTTGACAGAGGGAGGGGAGGGGTCGAAATCCCCCGAGTAGGGTGAGAGCAAGGCATGGAAACGGATTGAAGCCCTCAAAATAAGGCGGTTGAGAGGCAGGAGAGGGGGTTGAAACCCCCAGGTTCAAGCAAGAAAAAGGCAGCGGAGGGGGGTTCCCCTGCCCTTTGCTTGCATCAACCTGGGGGTTCCAACCCCCTTCCCCCCCTGCCCCTCAACAGCCTTACTCTGAGGGTTTCAACCCTCTTCCTTGCTTTGCCACCACCTTACTCGGGAGGTTTCTCCCCCAACCCTCCCCCCCCTCCACTGCCTCCCCCTTGGCTCATCCTGGGATTGAACCCTCAGCACCACTCCTTCCCTTCACCACCTCCCAGCATCTCGCCACCACCATCACTTCGTCCCACCATCACCACCACAACTTCCCCCCTGCCACCACCACCACTCTCCACCACTCTCCACCACCACCAGCAGTGGGGCTGAGGGCCAACCCCAAGACCTGAGCCCCTCACCGACGTGGCTAGAGGGGACACTCACACCAGAACACCCCGGCCGCAGGGTCTGGTGCTCGTCCATTAAGCCTTAAACGTGCGGGTATTGGGCCCAAGCTTGAGATCAACCCCCAACCCCACTGCTCACCACCACCACCACTTTCCACCACTCCGCACCACTCCCCGCCACCACTCCATTGTCACTTACCACCACCACCAACCGAGGCTCGCTTCCATCACCTGTGAACGGCGGGAGGGGTGGGAGGGGTATTATTAGTTGACCAACGAAGGGTACGAAACGAGAAGAGCTGAAAGTGAAACCAAGTCACGCATGAGAATTGGAAGCATGTGAGCAGGACACTGGCCTTACCTCGGCAATCGTCAGCCAGCCCCAGGCTCCGCCTTGAAACCACCAGCAGCAGCGGCAGCCCCAGCAGCGTTGCGGCCCAGCGGCAGACCAGCAGCAGCAGTCTGGAAGGAAGAGCCAGTGAGGCGGGTACTGGAACCAGCTAGGAGGAGCGGAAGGGGGACCTGCGGGCGGAAGGAGAGGTGGGGGGGGAGGGGAAAGGGGTGGGGAGCGAAAGTTGGGGTATCAGTAAACCAAACGAGGGTAGAAAACGGGCAGTGCTTAAAGCGAA